TAATTGTCATGAAATCTTTTTAAATGGTTTAAGAAATACCGTACATGTTTTAAAAATTGTTGGATCAATTTTTTAGCAAAGCGGCGGGAGTATATAAGTTTTTTTTGTTTGTTAACCAAATATTTGAATTTATCTATAAAAAAGCGGGTGATAACATCTCAAACTTGCTAACTGTGTTTACATTTGTCATAAATAAGTCTTAAAGTAATACATAGTACATGTCGGCAGGGTGGGCATATGTGACATAGACTATTGTGAAGAAAGATGTGATGATGACAATTTGCAATGAGATAAAAATCAATTTCAAAATTAGAAGTTGGGGTTGGGGCTTCACACTGGAAATACGGTATCCAAATATTGTGAAATTGGTTGCGTTAATCCATAACAAGTAAAACTAAAGTACTAGTAAGTAATTAAAGCATAAGGGCTAAAATTGTGAATTTGATGAAATTGTATTGGTTGTCATTCACTCAAAGTATACTACAAGCGTCCCCTCAATAACAAAGGCATCAAGCCAGGATCTGAAGTTACTGGGAATAAGCGTCGCGAAGAGCATCAGAATGGTTTTGTCGGACTAAACAAACAGGACAACAACCACCTTTGTGAATAACTTTGAAGGCAAGGGAGACACTTATTTCAGAACCAATCTTTGACTCGGAAGAGACAAAAATACATAACTCTTCATACAGATGGCTTCTTGCATAGTAACTGAAAATATTTATGAGCAGGGCTGCTTGGATAGACTACATTGTTGATACAGGATGATCATTCTATTTCTTGAAGGTTTTGAAGATTCAACTTCAAAAGAGGTGTTTTGAATAAGAGTATCAAACAGGATGGCTGAGATTTTTTCATACCATTTTGTTCTTTTCTCTTATTATTTTTCTTCGATTTTCAAGAAATTTTTGGCGGGGATTCAGTGATGTGATGAAAATGAAATGTGCAAAGAGTCATTCGAGTATTTGAGAGTCAGATTATCGGAGGTGAACTGCTAGATTTAGTCCCCCAAAAAAGTTTGGATCTCAGATTACAAGGAAAAGAATTCTTATTCCCGAGGACTACTACTAAAGATTAACCCCTCAAAAAAGCAGGCTTCCATACCCCTATCCTACACACTCATTAATATAATATCAAAGACATTACCTTAATAGTGTCCACCATTTTCAAGTAGAAAAACGTTTTTTTTTCATTTACCCCAGTGCCGCAAAGGCTCCCACCTATGGTGGGGTAAGGAGGGGTCGAATGTACGCATTCTTACCCCTGTACTAAAGCACAAAGAGACTGTTTCCGGATGACCCATAGTGAAAATCGCGTCAAAAAATGCATGGACTGACTTGCTTCATAACAAAGAAGCGCAGGCAATTTAGTGAGCCATTTTGCTTTATTCCATCATATTTTCAAGCCAAAAAATAATGAATCTTTGGATCCATTGCAAATGATGGAAATAAGTAGAAAAACATTTAATGTACCAAAATGGTTCATAATATTATCTCCAAGCAGTTATTAATGTTTGCCAAAATAAAGCTCTTTTCATTATAAACTTCACATGCAATGAGGGGGAAAACTAAAATGACTTTTGGAATTTGGAGTAAGACTCCATTTATACGGATTCTTTTAGAAGCTCAAAATCATGTGCCACCTCTCTTTGACCATATGTGTCCGTATAGTGAGTTAGGTCATGTGTGAATTGCATTGAAGAATATATAAAAAAAAACTGTTTAAGGCATTTTAGTTTGGTGAAACAGAGAAATCTTCCTAAAGCATATGAACTAAGTAGGTTATACGTAGTTTTTTTAGGCATATAAAAACAAATCCAAACCATGTATCTTCAATTTATATGTTTCAGTTCGTAAGCATACTATACTTGGAATACATAAAATGGAAGGAAAGAGTTGTATCAACCAAACGTAATGGCAACAACCAAATGATACAAAAAGTATTTGATGGCAAACCATAGGACTTAAAAAGTTCATATGGACATTTTTGCAAACACAGCAATCAATCCAAGAGTACAAGAGAATATTAAGACTTAAGAGACCAAGCAAATGACAAGGTGGAATTGTGAATATGTGATAATTAGATGGAGGTCTAATTAGCAAACTCCATTTACTTCTATTTAAGGAGATCTCCCATCAGTTTATGCTTTTTTCAAGATCAAATAGGATCCCTATGAAAACAAAAATCGTATTTGTATGTTTGTGATTCTGCTATGGACGTTTTTCTTCGTTTTTCTCAAGGAAGAGCAGTCAATTTCAGTATTTTCTAAACAAAACTAAACTGAAAATAAGATGTTGAATTTCATTTTTTTCACTCTCAAACAATCATTTTGAAAACAATGCAATCAGAAAAAAAAAGAATTAAGAAGAACACAAACCGAATTGAAATCAAATGAAATTAGTACAAGCCGACTGCAACCATGCCTGTGTGGCAACAACTCTGAACAGAATAGAAAACTAATAGGCTGCCCTGAACAAGAGAGGAGTTTAAGAGAGCATTACTTGTCAAGAAAGATGAAGCATCGGCGTCGGAAGCTTATTACAAAGGGAAAGGTGATGTGCGCAGTACGGATATAACTTGAAGACCGAAGTATTTCTAAAAAAAAACTTGAAGACCGAATTAACGGAGGTTAAACTTGACGGCATAGAAGGATAAAGAAGCCAAATGAAAAAACAGGGTTCCACTTTTAAAAAACAATGTACAACATCTTATGCATAAAGTGTATTGACATAAATCAGGGGTACTAATCTCTATTCATGATTATATTGTTGTTAGAAGTTATTGCGGCTGATGGGGTTTGATGCGGCCTGGTGCTACCACATTTTGGTTTTGTTGTAGGGCTGCACAAGAATAACCCGAACCCGCATAACCCGCCCGACCCAACCCTACCCGACCCTATTTAATCGGGTATTTTATTTTTAAAAATATTCATGGGTTAAATATGTTTGAACCCGCACCTAATGGGTAGGGTTGCGGAATTAAAATCTCAAACCCGATAGTACCCGACCCGACCGAAGTTCTATTTACTATTATTATGCTACAACGTTTTCTGGGATAATTTCAATTTAAGGCCAATGTGCTCTATGTAGGACTTTATGATATTAAAATTATAATTAAACATTTATCATTTTGACTAGGTGATTATTATATATTTGCGTTTCCTTCTAAATGAACTTCCGTTACGGAAGGATGTTTTAATACTATAACCTAATGTTTTTGCTTATAAAAGATACAAGTACTTGTATTTGTTTGTGTGTTTTGGAAATAAGTTAATCGAGTTTTAAATTGGTTACATTAATTTCCCACATGAAAGATGAAACCCGAAGTGATTTTTTCCCCCAATACCCGACCCTACCCGACCCGTTCATGCATGGTTTACCAACTTATTTTGCGTGCCGCGGGTTGGTTAGTAGCCAACCCGAACAAATCGGATAGGCCCAAAAAATATAACAAACCCGACCCAACCCGGCCGATGTGCAGCCCTATTTTGTTGCGAATTTTTCGAGTGAATAGAAATGTATATCACAGTCATTGCAGCCTGATGTGGTTGGGCTGCAGACCGCAACCACATAATTGGAGGTAAGCGTCAGATTGGTACTCGAAGTTGCATAAAAAGAGTCAAATAAGTCCTCATATAGGAGGCTCTGTCCGGCCGCCGCCATTTGGGGCGGTTCCAGGCGGAATATTTTGACGAAATATTTTGAGCATCATTTTTGGACAAGTTCTTTCAAAGGGCTGGATTTCAACCCATCAAACATTTCGGCCCAACCCAATCCAAAAGATAAGTACTCTTTAATTTTAATATTATTTATATTTATTTTAATCAATATTTTTTGTCGGTTAAATGTCACACTATCACGCACTTATGATCAAATGCCTAGTAGAGTGTGGCTTGAGACCCATCACTAGGATTTAAAGCCCTGACTCCTCAGGCACAAAGCCCTGACTCCTCAGGCACAAAGCCCCGACCAAGTCGGGCATGAAGACAAAACCCCGACCAAGTCGGGTACGAAGACCGGTCTTAGTCATTCCTCGAGTGGCGACCGTTGCTTACGAATGGCTCACACATCCATTCTACTAAGTATTTTATCATTACGTTAACAATACACATCTTCACTTATTTTCAAGTAACGAACTCCCGACCGGAAACATAAATCCCAAGAAAAAGATTTCATAATTATGATAAATGTGTAGGTACAAAGAATACTTTACTCATTTTCACCTCGTCTCCACTCGCCTCAAAGAGTGGGGACTGGGGGACTGAGGGGTCAGAGTTTCTAGAAGAGTAGAAAATATCACACATGAGCAGGAACGAGAGCTGAGTCGGTTGAAGATGAGTTGAGCTAGATTGATTATGCCGGGGAGACTTACCTTCCTTGTTTTATGTTGGGGGCGCTAGGTGTACTCTTTTTCCCTTTATTAGGATTTTTTCCCACTGGGTTTTTTCCTAGTAAAGGTTTTTAACGAGACACCTCCCCATCATTGACAAGGGTGGTGGTCCCCCGGCCGAAGAGGAAGAATGTTGGAGACACAATTTAGACTACTCCCTTTCGCCTCGAGTACTCTCGACTCAGGGAGTGGGGGACTCCTGATGGATTATATGGACTCCGACCCCCTAGTATGCCGACTACTAGGCCTGGACAGCGGCCCACACACGTTTAGCGGATATCATTAATATTATTGTACATTATTATTATTATTTAGATGTTCTAGATTAGTTTTTTATACTATTAGTCCATTTATGTAACCGGGTCTGTCAGGTCCATATTAGAGGCCCAGACCCGGATGTTCCCTATATATACTCCTTATAGGAGGCTTGTAACTCATAACAAAGATTCATTCTTTCTATACACTTTCATTATTTCTTCTCTATTCTTGTTCAATCTCTCCTATTTATGCAATAGGGGTAAATAGGAGATATTCTTGTTCCAACGATAAGCTTGTGAATATGGTGCATAAGGAATGAAATGGAAAATGAAAATAGAAATGGAGTCAAATTGAAACAAATTACTCAAAATAGAAACACATAGAAAATTATAACAAAAACCAAACAGGCAAGAAAATCGAACAATCTAAATTGTGATTGAATGAAGAAACTAAAACTCCGTAAATAGAGAGACAAAGTGATTGTGGGAGAAGAAAAGGTGAGGGTTAGGGCTAGGGCAAAGGCCCAAGAAGGTAGGCGGCGAGTAGTATATATCAGTTCAACCAATACGAGAAAGTCACAATTTATCAGATCGAAGTCATGGCCGCAGCAATTAGGCTACCGAAGAATCGCGGGGAGAATTTTGATGTGATCAAATGGATTGACGAAGTGGTTAGAGCACAGAAGCAGAAGCACGATGCGAATGACTCCTACTTCGTATGCTTCAATCTCTTTAATTTATATCTCATCTGAAATCGAGATTCCCTTCGTATGCTTCTATCTCTTTAGATTATATCTCATCTGAAATTGAAATTCACGCATAACGCTTTATAATTTATCCATTCTTTTCAATTAGTGGGACATTCGTGGTGCGCCCGAAAAACTTTCGCTGGAAAGGCTAAAAAAAAAGCATCCTCAGCAATACAAACGCATCATCGCCCTTTGCGGGATGGCTCTGGAGCATTACCGGGAAAGGAATGCAGGACAAGTTTATGAGTTCGTGAACGTGCAGAAGGCAGAGCATCTGTGTGGGGAGCTTACCCTTACATTTTGTGCCAAAAAGGTGAACGGCGATTGCCTAGAAACCTTTCATGCTGTGGGGTATGACCTCTCTGAGGGGTTATCAGTAGAGGAATGCTCCTTGCTGAAGTGAATGGAAGGCTGAATGGGTGTTGTTGAATGGTTCCATGAAAAATTCCAAAGGTACTCACTTTTTTGTGTACGCTCCAAACATATTTGGCCCTACACATATTTGTGTATACAAAAAGTGTGTACCTCAAGTCCAACTCTGGTTACATTTGCCTACTTGATATTTAATTCTCCTCTTAATCACATTGCGCTGCTGTATATCTACTACTTTTGATGACTCATCAGTACATTAATAATTGTTTCTGGTTGATGATTGAAAGGAAGGTGTCTATCTGATGATTTGGGTGCCTGATTTGTTGAAACATTTTTCCATTCCCAACTCATTTTCTAGATCAAACGGTTGTTTGGTCCCGAAGACATGCATGTTTTTATTACTCGCGAAACATTCATGGATTACTTGAAATACTTTGTACCATAGGAGATGCAATGTTTTTCCCACTTATCATGTCTCCTCAATGCCGAGCTTATACCTTAGCCCGTCCTGGGCGGCAAGGTTATGATCATTTTAGTAAGAGTGGCTGTGTTAGGTTTAGATTACTACTTCATCTAAAGTAGATTTATATAAATCAGAAATAACCAAGCTTGAAAAAAATGAACACTATGCTATTTTCGCTTTCGATATTGAGACCATTGGGTTTAGCAGTGAGAAATGTCAAATAATACAGATTGCAACAAGGGACCTAGTTGGAGGTGATAACATCACTTTACAGACTGCTCAATCCTGTGAGCATTGAGTAATGGTTCTGTTCATGGAATCATGAAGGCCTGATGTCGCTAGTTATGTTAAACGAAATATATTGCTAGATTCCTCTAGGGGTGTTTTCTAGATTTACGGGAGTTTGGTGCCGACAAGGCAAAAATACGGGCTTTTTTATGGGATTTCTGAGATTACGGGAATTGGGTATATTTCACAAAAGCTTCGGATTATAGGTATCTCTGACAATGTGTTTTATTTACTTTAACTTCGATTTTCTCCCTTAGTGTTATTGTTATTATTTACTTTATTTATTGAAAAAAAATCACTTGATTTTTGTACGGACCACAAGTTTTGTTATGAAAAAATTCCCTTAATAGGAGTAAAAACGTTTTGAAATTTTAAAATAGGACTATCATATTTTTTATTTCTGAATAAGAGTAAAGTAAATTTCTTCCAAGTTTGACATTACTAGACTTTAAACATGACATTTATTCCCAAACTTGGCAGATTACTCTTATTCTGAGGATAAAAATCATGGTAGTCATATTTTGGAATTTCGAAACGTTTTACTGCTATGTAGGGCAATTTCTGTTTTGTTATTACTCCACAGTTAACATTTAATATTTACTCCACATTTAACATTTGATATTCCTCAAATATTTGTACATAATTGTCTGTGTAAATAGGCAATGCAGCACGAGCAACATGTGTACACTATACAAGTGGGTGTACACATTATCTGTGTACACAGACAATAACGTATAAATGTATCCAAATTGTGTACAAATTGAGTGTATAAATAGATTTTTTCTTATCAGTTTTATAATTTCATATTATTTGTTCTTTATTCTATTAATAAAATATATTTCTTATGTAATTTTTTAAAATTCAACAGATTCAGCCATTCAGCCAAATTTTAATCAATTTCAACAGAATCGGCATATTTAATCAAACTAAATAATTACATATTTATGACTAAAATAATAATCATGATATATAATAACTGAAATAAAGATGGTTGAAAAATGTGGCATCTTAAGTGTAATGACTATAGTTGTAACGTTCAGCGACTATTTTTATGATCAAGTTTTACACTTTAGTGACTATGATGTTATACTCATAGTAACTGTAATCATATTTTTGTTATTACTTTCATAATATATTTAGAAAAACCCACTACATAAAGATTGTTTTAAAAAATGTGACATCTTATTTGTAGTAATTATACTAGTAATTTAGTTATAATAACTTATGTTCAATTTGTACACTTAAATTACTATGAAGCTACTATAATAATTACACCGTATATTATTAGTCATATTTTTGTAAATAAGTTCTAATTCGCTAATATTTTTAAAGACCTTATTTTCACAGATTAATAATGAGATATTTACTAACAGAGATATTTTCCTGTTTTCTACTTCTGTTTTTCGTTCTCCAATTTTCTGTTTTTATTTTTCAGTTTTTCTATCTCCAATTTTTTGTTTCTATTTTTTAGTTTTCCATTTTCAAATTTGAAAACATGTTCATCAATTTTTTCACACAGTTCTCCAATTCCACACCCTTGACCCCTACCTCTACCCTTACCACGATCTTACACTCTTCCCATACTCCACCACAACCCTTCATGTCAACCCATACCTACTCGTAGGGGTCGGGGTAGGGAAGTTGGGGTGGGGTAAGGGGTATGATCGGGATGGGGTGGTAAGGTCTAGGGGTAGGGGGTTGGGTGGGGGTAGTGGGTGGGTTAGGGTCGTGGTTAGGGTTAAGGGTGGGGTAGTGGGTAGGGTTGGAGTAAGGTAGGGGTAGGGTAGGGAGTTGGGATAGGATGGCAGTAGGGTGGGGTCGGGACCAGGGTAGGGCCGGGGTAGGGAAGGGGTAGGGTGGGGGGTAGGATGGCAGTAAGGGTGGGGGTAGTGGGTAGGGTTTGGGGTTGGGGTAAGGTAGGGGTAGGGTAGGGAGTTGGGATAGGATGGCGGTAGGGTGGGGTCGGGACCAGAGGTGGGGCCGGGGTAAAGAAGGGGTAGGGTGGGGGTAGGGTGGGGGTAGTGGGTAGGGTTTGGGGTTGGGGTAAGGTAAGGGTAGGGTAGGGAGTTGGGATAGGATGGTGGTAGGGTGGGCCCGGGATCCGAGTGGGGGTGGGGGTAGGATGGCGGTACGAGGGTGGGGGTAGGATGGCAGTGGGGTGGGGCCGAGGTAGGAGGCATGTGGTAAGGGGTAAGGTAGGGGTAAGTGGTAATATACGAGGGGTGGGGTTAGGGTGGGGTCGAGGTGGTAGGGGGGTGGCGGTAGGGTAAGGTGGATCGAGGTGGGGTCGAGTTGGTAGGGGGGTGGCAGTAGGGTAGGGTGGATCGGTGTGGGGCCGAGGTCGGGGCATGTCGGTGGGGGGTGGGGTAAGGTCATTATAGGGAAAAATGGGTATGCGGGGTGGGGGTTTGGTGGGTAGGGTAGGGCAGGGGTAAGGGGTAAGGTACGAGGATGGAGGTACTGGAATGGAATCGACATCGGAGCGGGACCAGACCCACCACTAGGTGTGAGTATGCAAATTCATTGCAAAGGCATTGTAGCATCTGCGTTTTCCAAATTTGGAAAACTAGTAAAAGTCACTTCTCCAAATCATTAAGGAAAAGAGAGACATGTTTCATTTTTTCCGTTTTGGAAAACGATTTGGTAAACGCGTTTTTCTTTTTTCCTTTCTCTAGTTTTCCAAGAATTTCTTTGGTAAACACGTTTCCTGTTTCCTGTTTTCCAGTTTTCCTGTTTTCTGGAAAACTGGAAAATATTTCTGTTAGTAAACAGGCCCTATTCCAGTTTAACTAAATTTCACTTATATTACTCGTATTGTCTATTCCTAAACAAACGGAACAAAAAAATTCATTTAAATGTAATGGAAGATAACATGTTGGGACAAACATGTTTAGTTGGACACGGATCGATGCACCAAGTAAAATCCGCATCCACAAAAAAAGGATTAGCCCATTCCCACTAATCCACTATCTATGGAGAGAGAGGGAGATTGAAAAACTTTAAGGCCTGTTTACTAACAGATATATTTTCCTGTTTTCTACTTCTGTTTTTCGTTTTCCAATTTTCTGTTTTTATTTTTCAGTTTTTCTATCTCCAATTTTGTGTTTCTACTTTTTAGTTTTCCATTTTCAAATTTGAAAACATGTTCATCAATTTTTTCCCATAGTTCTCCAATTCCACACCCTTGACCCCTACCTCTACCCTTACCACAATCTTACACTCTACCCATACTCCACCACAACCCTTCATACCCACACATACCTACTCGTAGGGGTCGGGGTAGGGAAGTTATGGGTGGGGGTGGGGTAAGGGGTATGGTCGGGGTGGGGTGGTAAGGTCTAGAGGTACAGGGTTGGGTGGGGGTAGTGGGTAGGTTAGGGTCGTGGTTATGGTTAAGGGTGGGGTAGTGGGTAGGGTTGGGATAAGGTAGGGGTAGGGTAGGGAGTTGGGATAGGATGGCAGTAGGGTGGGGTCGGGACCAGGGTGGGGTCGGGATAAGGAAGGGGTAGGGTGGGGGTAGGATGGCGGTAAGGGTGGGGGGTAGTGGGTAGGGTTTGGGGTTGGGGTAGGGTAGGGAGTTGGGATAGGATGGCGGTAGGGTGGGGTCGGGACCAGGGTGAGGCCGGGGTAGGGGGTGGGAATAGGATGGCAGTAAGGGTGGGGGTAGTGGGTAGGGTTTGGGGTAAGGTAGGGGTAGGGTAGGGAGTTGGGATAGGATGGCGGTAGGGTGGGCCCGGGATCCGGGTGGGGCCGAGGTAGGGTAGGGTGGGGATGGGGGTAGGATGGCGGTAGGGTGGGGCCGAGGTAGGAGGCATGTGATAAGGGGTAAGGGTAGGGTACAAGGGGTAGGGTAGGGTAGGGTAGGGGTAAGAGGTAAGGTACGAGGATGGAGGTATCGGAATGGAATCAACATCGGAGCGGGACCGGACCCACCACTAGCTGTAAGTATGCAAATTCATTGCAAAGGCACTGTAGCATCTGCGTTTTCCAAATTTGGAAAACTAGTAAAAGTCACTTCTCCAAATCATTAAGGAAAAGAGAGATATGTTTCATTTTTTCCGTTTGGGAAAACGATTTGGTAAACACGTTTTTCTTTTTTCCTTTCTCCAGTTTTCCAGGAATTTCTTTGGTAAACACGTTTCCTGTTTTCTGTTTTCCAGTTTTCCAGTTTTCTGGAAAACTGGAAAATATTTCTGTTAGTAAACAGGCCCTATATTCCCGTATTTTCAGACCCAAAAGAGCATCTTCGTAATTTGGGAATGGGTACGGGAAAGTCCCGCATATCCGTCCTTTCCTCTTCCTCTAGTGTGTGCATCTCACTGCTTACATTTGCGTCATTTGTTTGTGTTTTGATTGCATGCCAATAATATGCCATATGTTAGGCTCAATTTCAGGCCAAAACTCCATTAGCGATGCCCATTGTTCTAAAACTCGTTAGGCGCTAGTCGGGCGGTTGAGGAGCGCCTAGCGTGTAACACCCTACCCGAATCGGCCCCGCCGACCCGAGCAGTGTGTCACGTGGCAGAAATCAAAACAGATTTAAATAAAACACTTTTAATTAGTTAAAACAAAATTAAAAATTTAAA